CTTGCTTTTCTTTCCTTCATTGCCTTCTTGCACCTCTTGCAGGCTGTGCCGCCTCCTTCGCCGCTCCGACTCCCGAAGCATTTGTGATCTAGAAGCAGGTGTTCCCTCTGATGAAGTTGTGTATTAGTGGCTAGCGGCAGAAAAGCGCTTCAGGGATCGCCACTACCCTCCCTGCTTTGGCTGTCGTGGTATGTCTCCCATATTACGCGGAACTGCTTCTGGGGATACAACTAGTCTTTTCATGTTCATTCTTCTGTGTGAAGTCTTTGGGTCATGTGTTCTGTTGAGTGAGATGGAAGGAAGAGAAGCGCCACTTCACCCATTTGGCCAGGGAATAGTTCATTCTTTGATATAATGAGGACGTTGATTGTGTGATTGGCAATTTTTCTCTATGTGTGGGTTCGTTTATTTCGTAAATCCGAATCTCCGTCACTATGATCGGTTTGTAGATGGATGTGAAAAATGATAATTACAATGCATGAGCTATATTTATATATATATATATATATATTCTATTTGACGATATATATATTGGTACTAACTCTAAGGGGAACCCGACTACCTTCAGACATAATATCCATCCACGTATCAATCGGTGAAAGGATTGGATACTATGATGAACAGTACCGATTGCTCTTGATCGTATATCTTGAATACCAAAAACCTCCATGTATTCGTCATATGGTCTAGATAAGGGGCATGTATGCAATAGGGTCACTTGGTAATGCATGAATGAGCCCAAATCAAGATTGGGATCACATCTTTTTTCTACTACGCCACTTGAATAGAAACCTTGTGTGCTGATTGGTTTTTACACACTTGCATGTACCCTCAGATTCCCGGATTTTTTTGATTCGAAGGACCGATTCCGCCAATCAGCGAAGTGGATTGATGGGCGGGTAGCTCCCCTACTTTACCGATTAGACCACAATAAAATCCCGATCGCATGACTTATTGCATATTTATGACAAACCATCAAGCGATACCTACCCCTGCCCATGAATTGAATGCAGCAAGCCTATGTATGACTAACAAAGAGTTTTTACGATCTTTCCCGATGCTTGCACCAGGTGGGGAAAATATTACCCCCGTCACACCAGCCTGATAAAGTATTAAAGTACGCTATTGAAACATACCAGGCCAGTCGGACCGATCTGCACTAACAACGTCACCGACAGATCATGTCAAACTCGGGTCGTATGACTATTTTCATAAGGCGGTTTTCCTCCTAAGACGCAGGAACGTGCTTGCGCTCCGTACCCGTCCACGTGGCACTATCCCACAGACGGCGCAACGTCGTACGAGCAACCCTTCTTTTGGGTATAAAATCTATAAAAGTATTGAACAGCGGTTGCATGACGAGTCCTAACGAGTCCTACCCCTCTACAAGGGCAAATTGTTATTGAATTATATGCGAACGATCAGAAGCGCTTATTATCTTATGCCCAGAGACCTTATCTAACGCAAGAACGTGCTTGCGCTCCGTACCCGTCCCCATGGCATCTTCCCATGGACAAAGCAACGTAGCACGAACACTCCTGCTTATGAGCATAAGAATCCATAATAGGACTGTATAACGGGCAATAGTTACAGGATTGTATACGATCGATTATATGCGCTTGCCATCTTATGCCCCGAGATTCTATCTAACGCAGGAACATGCTTGCGCTCCGTACCCGTCCACGTGGCATTTCCCCATGGACGGAGCAACGAAGCACGATCACCTCTGATTACGAGCATGGAATCCATCAAAGCATTGTATGGAGGCTCATTGAGGAACACTGACGAGTCCTACCCCCCTATTCAGGCTAGATTGTATGCATACACCCGCTACCTTATACCCAGGGGATATTATCAGTTGAGAATATATACCTCTCTAAATTATACTCGCCCTCCAAGAAAGGAATATGTCTCTGGGCCAGCAGATTGCACAGACGTGGGGACAGGTTCTGGCCATGGTCCACACATGGGAATCCCACAAAATGGGTTATGTGCCATAGGAAGTCTTGTGCTCGCCTGATGAGGATAACGGGGTTGTGCCGATGAATTACTTCGGAGCTTGATGGCAATACGGTTTCCGTATCTTGCTTCGACATGCTTGTCATAGAGTACTCTAACACACACACGAGGGGATTGCCCCCGTCAGCACTGTTGGTGGTGCGTCCCACCAACCATGCCCCCGTGAGATAGGCGAAGTATTGCACGAGCGTTCGCCAATGGAAACCCGACCAGACAGGGAGATGCGATTGCATGACGTTAACCCGTCCACGTAAAGGCAAGAAAAGAAGGCTGGGAGTGGTCGCTGTTCCGCCAACCGATCTCGTTTAAGTGGGTATGTATTGTTGTGCGTGTGTACATGTTTGTGTGTTTGCGTTTGATTGTCCCTGTGTTTTTCTGAAGATTCCACCGAAGGAGTTCTTCCGAGAGGATGGTGAGACGAACTCACTCGGAAATACGAATGGCTAAAGGAACAGCCATGGCCCAGCAAACCGGCGCAAGCGCTCATCGCCACACTGAAACCTGAGATACTGGACGCTATGAAGAGAACGGTCGAGACCGGGGATTTTCCAAACTTTTTCTGCATGATTGGATTTAGTGACATTGTTAATCTTGCCTGTGTTTGGGATCAAGGAAAAGATGTCTTTGTCGCCAAGCTCCTAGACACTGCTGCGAGCTTAGAGAAGAAGAGGACGGATTATGAGAGAGAATGCAAGGAACTGCCCGCCAAAATGACAAAGGTGGAGCAAACGTTCCTTAAAATTTGGGGACTAGATCACTCACACTTACAAGGGCAGGCCGCCGAAACACCGGCGGTTGGCGGCACCATCGCCGGAGCTCTTGCCTTGGACGACGAGGAGATGGCGGAACTAAACGCAGCTATAGCCGCAGTAACCGCTACTGCCAGCTGCACCCCAGAGATGGCCTCATCCTCCCAAGGAAGGCAAAACACCGCCTTTGCACCACTCCCGTCCTTACACTGGGTTGAGCACACGGGCACTGGGTTTACGCATGCACTCTGGAAGCTTGACACGTTTAACCATCTTGGCCCTTTCTCGGTAAAGGCCCTGATCTTCCTCGCCAACCTGACCGACGAGGAAGTTGCCACGTGTAAGGCAAACGCAATGACGGGCGCACTCCCGTATTGCCCCCCAGGGAAGAAAGCCTTCAGCCCAACCCTCCTGACGTTCCCGCTACTATCGACCCTCGACCACACGAAATGTGAATACACCAGCCCTGTAATGTGGCAAAAGAAGGTAAAAACCGCCCCCGAGATTGATCTAAAAGGACTCAGAAAAAGCTGGAATGTCAGGCGGCCATACCTCAGATGCAGGTGCGCTACCGAAAGGAAGAAGGACTGTGGGGCAGGACCGGTCTGGATGGACCATGCGATTTGGTATCTGTTCGCACATCCTGACATCCTATTCCCCAACATCGCCTCTGTAAAGGTAAGAACCTCTACCTTCATCCATTTTTTGCGAGTATCATGGAAACCAGCGGTAGAAGCTTGTCTTACCTTCATGTTCATTTGGTGGATCATGACCGATGTGATCTCTGCGCTTGAAAAGGACCCCTCCCTCACCTCCGAATCCGTCATTTGCAGAGAGAAGTGGAAATATAATACCCCTCTAACCATCGGTAGGGTATTGCTCCCCACTAGGATCACCGGCAATCCGAGGGTCAGAGCCAGGGGAGCCCGGAACAAACAAGGGAACGCCCAAAAGAGACAGCGCAACATCCCACCTATAGTCGTTTCTCCCAGAGAGCGGGTTCTTCCATATGAACCTAGGGACATGGCGAACGCGACGCAACAGATGACCCCCCCCATGGCCTCCCCACACCAGGAGGCTGCCGCAGACAGAGCAGGTCCACAGGATCGCATGGGAAGCAATCATCCGCCAGAGGAGCAGTTCGGCGGCAGAGGACTACACAATATGGCGGTGGGGGGGCAAAGAGCCAGAGGTAGGGGCAGTTCTCATCTGCTTCCCTCGCATAAAGGGTTTGCGATCTCCACGGTGGAATCCACAAGGAATGGCAGACTGCGGAAAAACGGATCCTCCAGCGGAGGTAAGAAGGGAAAGAGTGGTTGTATCGGCACTCCTTGACGAACACACACGGTAAAACAGAGAAGATCCGCGCAGCATACCCGGGTGACTGCATCCCCGATGAATCACTCATTCGTCACCCTCGGGAAGCATTGGACCTTCTTCTGACCTTCTTCCTTTCCTGTCCTTTCTTTTTTTTTTCTTTTTTCTCCTTTTCATCTCTTCCCCTTTTTCCCCCCTTTCTTTCTTCCTTTTTACTTTTTTTTTTTTCTTTTTTTTCTTTTTTTTTTTTCCCGTGTTTTCACTTTCAGACATTTACATAATGAATATCTATATCTGTAAATGCATTTCCCCCCCTCGCCTTATCTGCTAAATACGATCCCCGCTAACAACGGTTCCCCGCGTCAATGAGCTTCCGTGCGCTACGCAGGATGAGTGCTTCGATCCAGAAGGAGATGGCTGTATGGTGGTCCTTCCTTCAGGAAGGTATGCATGGAAAAGGAAAGAGAGGGAGCAGGACCCGTTCGTACACGTCAGGTACACAAGCAGGCTTATGGAAGCGGTTCCCCTGAGAAGCATGGTCTTGGAGGCACTAAGGCAGGTTAAAGGGGAAAGATCGGCGAACTGGCTCGAGGACGTGGTCATTGGGTGGCGATATGACGAAGCCTTAGGTTCCAAGATCTGCAAACCGGCGAAAGTGTTCAGGAAGTTCAGAATGGATGAATGGGAAGCAAGGTACGTACCTGAGTTTTGCCAGTGCGGCGCAGGGAGGCACGCCGAGTTCCTCAACACCGCCACCATCAAGATGCTCACGGAGGAAGGTACTCTACACGTCATCACTAATGACACCGGAGTAACAAACAATGGCCAGCTACAGCTCATGCTCAATGCCGGTCTGAATCATATCCCACTTAGGGCGTTCAATGAAGAATTTACGCTAGACGAAGTCGAGGTAGCGCTGGAACAAGATACTTACCAAACGGAGATGTGACGAGGAGCTGTCCTTGGGAGAAGAGAGGGGGGTGAAGATGATCGCACGGGAGAACACGAAGAAAAGTATCAGGAGTTTCCGAGCGAAGCACATGCATATTACTGGCGAACCTATCAACAGCGTGGCGATAAGGAGCGAGATCGAATGGCTGACCAGCCGTTATCTGGTTTGTCCAACGGACAAGGCGCCGCACACCCCCACTTTCATCTGCATCAACTTCATCAGAAGGTTGGCGCTGCAAAGGCTTTCGGGTCCGGACTTCACACCACTTCCAGATCCTCCGGAGCAGGAGGCGGCAAGGTTAATGAGGGAGGCTGCTGCCTTCACCCATATTGGGCACGAGGCGCTGCCACTCCCACACCTCATGGCGGTTTACAAGGCGCACAAGCAATCTTTCAGGCGGATCACGAACTCTGCAGGATCGGTGCTCTCCCCGGTGGCGGACATGTGCGATAGGCTACTTAAGCTCCTGGCGGAGGATGTCCAGGCCCTTTGCACGAGTAGGAGCGAAGAGGTCCATGTTGAGCACGGAGTCAGACCCAACTTCTGGTGGCCGATATCCTCGATCGGCGAGTTCGTAGCCAACATCCCGCTTCGCATCTACTCTGTCTTCACAGGGGATATCACCAGGTGCTTCGAGACGATACCCACGGACAGATCGGAGGACGGACTGCTGGAGGCGATTAGATTCTTCGTTCGTTGTGCCATGGAATGGAGGAGGGCCAGAACAACCAGGTATGTGATCGCCATCAAAATCGCGAGCAACGACACATTACACCCCTAGTGGGTGAACGGGGATCAGGACAGGGACAGGGATAGGCTGTACTTTGACGAGCAGGGGATCATTGATGCCTGTGAATGGCTCATCTCCAACGGGGTCGTGCAAATGGGGAACAGGGTCTGGAAACAGATCCTCGGAATTCCTATGGGATTGGCCTGTTCTCCCATCTTCTGTGATGTCTACTTCTTTAAATATGAATATGGTATAATCTCTCACGTGGTCGATATGCAGGATTGGATGGCGGTTGAATGTTTCTAGGACACGTATAGATATATAGACGATCTGTATTTTCTAAACAACACGATCGTTGCTGGGTTTCTTAAAACGGTGAAAGAGGCCAGAACCCAGGCCGCAAGATCTATCCACACGAGCTCATTGAGGTAAAGGAAACAACCGAGGTTGTAATCGACGGGCATGGCAGGGCCGCAAACTTTCTCAACCTCTCATTAACAGTCTTGTCCACCGTGGACGACACGTACTTCACCGCGAAGCACGATAAGAAGAGGGGTCTTTCATTCTCCCCCGTGAAATTCATGAAGTTCAGATCAAACCGTTCCATCTCGCAATCTCTGCAGATATTGACGGATCAAACCGTCCTGACTCTCATCATCTGTTCTGATGAGCAGGAAGCCACCCTGGAAATCAATAACCTAATCCAAACCATGGTCTCGAACGGATTTTGCAGAACGGAATGCTGGAAGGTGGTAGATAGGGTTTTTCGCAACAGGAAGAGATATCAGCCCGGCAGGGTGATCGACTAGATGGTCAAGGCCAACCTAATCACCAGATTTGGCATGCACTAATCTGTGTTCTGTGATGTCCGTGAGCGTGTGTGGGGACCGGGGGGCTACGGGCCGGAAGGGCCCGATGCCTCCCGACATCCAACCTTCCGGCCTGTATCCCATTTTCCGGTGGGATGGGGGCGGGGCACACACACACACACACACACACACACACACACACACACACACACATACACATATAACATGGGGACGAGGAGCGAGGACGAGCAGAAGAAAGAGAAGAATCGCCAAGAACAGAAGATAGATGGCAAGGACAATAAACGCTGGACAAAGCAATTAAGAGAGATGAATAAGAAGTGAATAAATAAGCAAGGAAATAAGGGGAAGAAACCCGAATGAAAGAGTATACGGAATAATGATGCCAGCCCTGTTAAGCGACACGCCCCAGTTACAATACCGCTCCATTCAGAACTTATTACGCAGCGAGAGGCACACGAGGGGCTACGGTTATGGGCCAAAGGAACGCTCATAGCCATCATCAAACCGGAGTCCATGCATGCGCACAACCCGTGCGCACAATAACACGAATAATGAAGCCTGTACGCTCTCGATCTTAAAGACTGATTCGCCCTCCACGCGCATGCCTTTCTTTTTCTCCTCCCCTTTCTTCTCGCATTCTTTTCTTTTCTTTCTTTTCTTTCTTTTCTTTTTTTTTCCCATTTTTTTAATTTTTTTTTTCCCCTTTTTTTCTTTTTTCTTACGTCTTTTTTTCCACTTTTTTCCCCAATTTTTTCCCCGCTTCCCTTCTTTTCTTTCTTTTCTCTTTCTCTTTATGTCCTCTTTCTTTCTTTCTTTTCCTCGTTTTTTTCCCTCTGCTTGTCCTTTTCTATTTTTTCGCTTTTGACGGGTTCATGCACAGGTCACGAGTAGTGACGTTTCGTCCAACAGGGAAGGACAATCAGGGGATGAGTGATACGGATCGTATCCTCCCAATCAAGGGAGGACTGTTCCGACACCTTTTCGCTATTTTGTCTGTACTTATTTCTGTTTTTATTTTTTTGTTTTTGTTTTTTTCTGTTGTGGCTTTTCTTAGTCCCCCGCCTCACGTCACCAACGACGCTTGTATTGTCCACGGGCAATACTTCTTGGAAAGTGAGGATGACAGGGCACTATTTGAGCAAGTGGAACATCCCTCGGGCTCCCATCATCGGATCAACGCACATGCTTTCCGCTCGGCCGTAATTCACGATTACGGGCCGAACGGCCGCAGACATTCCAGTTGACAGGAGATCGGGCAGACGACAATTGAGCCCTGTATCGGGGAGTCGGTGCTTCACGGCTGCCTTCGCTATGGATTACCAAGTGGACCAGGAACTACTGGACCGAATGATCGATGACGAAGAAGACAGGGTATAAACTTCATCGCCCTCACCTCCACAATCTCCTGGTCGAATCGATTCCTTTGCACCACGCATGCGCCACGGGAGTGTACGATCCTCCACTTTTTTGCGTTGTTCTTGCATTGCACATGAAAGTTTTTTAGCTGCTGATGATGGTAGTCTTTTTTCCTTTTCAACTTCTGCGTTGGGCAATTTGCAGACTAGTTGAGCTAGGGTCGATGGCGCTGAACAGAGAAGGGGCGGAGGAAAAGATGGGGGTTGCTATCGAAATGTCAGCCTACGTTCTGTTCGCTTTTGTCGCATTACTTGCTTTTCTTTCCTTCCTTGCCTTCTTGCACCTCTTGTAGGCCGTGCCGCCTCCTTCGTCGCTCCGACTCCCGAAGCATTTGTGATCTAGAAGCAGGGGTTCCCTCTGGTGAAGCCATGTATTAGTGGCTAGCGGCAGAAAAGCGCTTTTGAGATCGCCACTACCCTCCCTGCTTTGGTTGTCGTGGCATGTCTCCCATATTACGCGGAACTGCTTCTGGGGATACAACTTTGGCAATTTTTCTCTACGTGTGGGTTCGTTCATTTCGTAAATCCCAATCTCCGCCACTATGATCGGTTTGTAGATG